CTTGACTACCAAAGGTACATTGTAACTTCGATAGACATGCAACAAATCTATAATGAACAATACACTGTAGTCTGCTCAGCTAATTGTGAAATGCATCAATTGTCGATGTCATGCAATAAAGGTAAAGTCTGCGTACGAGCCAAAGGGCCCATCAGGCCTGAGTTTATCCCGGTTTCTGTAGCATGAAGTTACTGGGAGTATTTCTACTCCCCCCTGGATGAGACACTAGTCCATCACAGGGTTACCCACAGCATTAAGGTCGCCAGTACTCATTTATACACCTGGGTGGAGAGAGGCATTACGGGTGAGAGTGAAGTGTCTTACCCAAGAACACAACACAATGTCCCCAGCCAGGGCTTGAATCCAGACCACTTGATCTGGAGACGAGCACACTAACTATGAGGCCACCATGCTTCCCTCATACAACACGCCCTGGTATAATGAAGTCCCTGCTATAAATAAACTATAAATTTCACATCTACTCTGGCTAGTTTACATGTAGTATGAATGCATGTCACTCTACGGCTGAGCTTTAGTGTGAAACAGATCAAAAGTGATGAGAATTTCTTGAACCCTCTTATATTCCATTAACAATAACATTGCGTTTCTTGCAAAATCTCATACACTGTAGCAACCCAATTAGAGTTACAAACTATATAGAGTTACAATCATGAGTAAGAAATGAAGTTGAGACACTGCCCAACCTTTTTCCTTCAAGCCTGATTTGTCCTATGTCCACTCCTTGCTAACTCAATGTTTCTTCCTCCTCCCCCTTTCCATTGTTTGAACTATTGAACAGTACCAAAGCTTGTTTCAACACTACTCGTCGGGTAGGGCGGTTTTGTATCGACATAATTTTTTTTTTCTTTCATCCAGAGGAGTACAGTTCTTAGTTGGGAAAAGTTCTACTTGCTAATTTCTAAACACTTTTGACCACAATAATGCAAGAGTACCTCTGACAGCAGTCAACTCCAATGATGATCCAAGTCACAACAAACTTTCATCTGAATTAAAAATTTGAGGAGAATTTCAGTGTAGTTTCAGTAACTAACCCTCCAAGGAGACTAAATGCCTGTGATTTTCAATAACTTATACAACAGTGCAAGGTTAACTGTGTCTTTAACCTGAAAAACACTTTCTTCTTCATTAGTTTGGACAAAGTTCCAGCTGTGACCACACTACTGTTCAGGGATGGACTTACAATGGGACTTGGTACCAGTACAGGACATGTGAGTTGAATAACAGATAAGAATTTGTTTCAAGGCAATAAAGTAGTTAACATTGAATAGTGAATATTTGGTAGAGATGCTGTGCCCTAGACTGGCAGACTAATTTCTAGTCATAGACTAGTCTAGTCACAGTTTAGTCTAGTCTAGTCTAGTCTAGTCTAGTCTAGTCTAGTGTAGGTTAGTCTAGTCTAGTCTATTCTATTCTTTTCTAGTCTAGTCTATTCTAGTCTATTCTAGTCTAGTCTAGTCTAGGCATTCAAAGCAATGGATAGTAACAGACATGACTTGCTGTAAATTGAACAGATAATCTTAATAGTGTTCTTCAAATTCTGATCTAAGCATAAAATATTCCGTGTTTTTCACCAGGTGCTGCTGTATGATCTGCGCTCCACGAATCCGTTATTGGTAAAAGATCACCAGTATGGCCTGCCAATCAACAGTATTGCTTTCCAAGACAAGCTGGATGTTGTGCTATCTTCTGATTCAAAGATTCTTAAGATCTGGGACAGAGAAACAGTAAGTGTTATGATCATGTGAAAATGGACTCTCAAGAGAAAGTCCTGGAACACTTTCTCTGTGGTTCCAGAAAATATCCTAACCTCCCATTCCATGGGAACGTTTTTTGGTATAGCCCCCAAACCCTCCTCCAAAAGGAAATTCCAGTTTAGTTTCAGAATTTTCCTTCAAAATTGTGCTTTGAACCCCCTTCCCCGCCCCCCTGCCCGCATGGTCCCTGGAACCATGCATTGAGGAAAGTGTGACATCTCTATCAATATTGCTTTTCTCAAGAGGTGTCTCATTTCTCTGGAAATGAGCTGGTAACTTGCTTTTGAGCTGTACTTTTACCCATTTAATGTAAATATTTNCATCCATAGAACCATCCACTGACATCAATGATTTGTGCTTGTATCCAGATTCAGGTAAAAAAAAAGGCTATTAAAACGTCATACGTTACAACGTAAGCTACTTTTGTTTGCTCTTGTTTGCTCTTTGAAACCGAGCGTTCACTTTTGTTAACTCCTAGTTATACTTTTATCGCATATCGTCTCTGTTGGGCTTTACAAAAAGGCAGTTTAATGGTTCATCAAATCTTGGTTGTGTTGATGTTCTACAGCTTAAAAAGAAACGTGCTTGTTATAGGCTAATTGCGGAGGTTTTTGCTTTCCTCCTCAGGTTTAGTGTTCATGGCAACTGAATCGCCCAAAATGTTGGTTTACTACATCCCAGTAAGTAGCAATACTGTGCGGGTAGTGTACTTTTCATGTAACATAACAAATACGATAATGTAGAAAGCTGAAAACAAGACGCACACTGGATTGTGTTTTGGACAAAATTTTGCCCTCGTAGCTGGTGGAATTTCGCGCCCTAGTTTTTCTGTTGATGGGGGTGACAACAGCGGTGAGGAAAATGGGGAGTAATCACGTTTCGCTGCTCCGCCGCCGAAACAAAGCAGTCACTTGCGAAATTCCGCTGGATATACAGGCTAGATAGAGCGGATTTCAATTGAGTGTCGTAAAACCAAAACCAAAGTAATCGTCTGATTACTTTCGACACTCAATTGAAAACCGCTCTAAAAGTTAAGGTGTTATTTATTGTCACTACCATTACTATAGTCCTTAGGCCCAGCTCCAAGATGGTGTTCCTTCCTGGATAACCTGACCGAGGAGTTGGAAGAGGATGAACAACCAACTGGTTAGTGAAGTTGATGTGGGCTCTTGAAAGCCTCACCCCAACCCATAGGCTCGATTACCAGCCGCAACGTAGACCAGACACGAGAGAGCAGCGGAAATCGAGCCTTCCCAACCCCCTTACTTCGTTCATTTTTCCTCGCACATATCTTTAAGGGTTGCTAATGATCTCTCCCTCGTCCTGCCGTTCACATGACACAAATTCATCGACAGTTGATTGTCAGAGTTATTGCTGTCATTTGACAGATTGCATTGTTTCACTGCGCTAATACATTAAACCACANAGACGAATCTCTTTTTCAGGCCAAATCTTTAGCGGAACCTTTTGCATTTGAAGAATATCGCAAGAAACGAATCCAAGACAAGATTGAAGAGGAACGCGCTAACAGAGTCAGACTGAAGGTATGGACGACGAACCACAGACATCTGTGGTCACGTGCTCAATTCATCCCGCGCTCGGAGAGACTTCTGGGATTTTACTGATGACGTAGCACTGCAGAGATGCATGTGGCTCTTTTGATTGGTTGTCACTTAGTTCTGACTCTTTTGAACACGAGTAACAAGGACTGATTAGAGACACGACTTGGAATTCCGTAGTTCTCTGTTGTCATCATTCATGATTTGTTTTTGGCTCGGGTCTCGTGCGTGTGTTCTTGTTACTCAGTAAAAACGTTACCTCACTAGCATTTCACTGTGAACTAAAATTGTACGCGTTTGTCGGAAAGATCTAGTATTTTAGTGATTAACAACTAATTATTAAATATTTTCCTAACGAAGACACTTCCGTTCGCATATTTATGTCAAATACCGGTAATTTGGTTTTTGTAATTTTATACCATATTTCAGATTTCATTTAAAACGGAAAACCCTCTCCCTGTATACATCTTTCACGTATTAAAATACCCGATTCACCATTTTTCTGGTCTTTCTACAGAAACTTCCAAAAGTGAACCGAAGTTTGGCCGAGAAATTGATAGACGAGAAGAAAGACGCGAGAAAAGAGGCGGTCAAAGTAAGTTAATATTAGTTTGTATTCCACAGTTTTGAGAAAGGATTTGACCAGATACATGTATTTTGCTCCCATGGTATGAAAACCNACTGATGACGTAGCACTGCAGAGATGCATGTGACTGTTTTGATTGGTTGTCACTTAGTTCCGACTCTTTTGAACACGAGTAACAAGGACTGATTAGAGACGCGACTTGGAATTCCGTAGTTCTCTGTTGTCATCGTTCATGATTTGATTTTAGCTCGGGTCTCGTGCATGTGTTCTTGTTACTCAGAAAAAAAGTTACTTCACTGGCATTATACTGATAACTAAAATTTTACGCGTTTTGTCGGAAAGATCTAGTATTTTAGTGATTAACAACTAATTATTAAATATTTTCCTAACGACGACACTTCCGTTCGCATATTTATGTTAAATACCGGTAATTTGGTTTTTGTAATTTTATACCATATTTCAGATTTCATTTAAAACGGAAAACCCTCTCCATGTATGCAGCTTTCATGTAAATACCCGATTCACCATTTTTCTGGTCTTTCTACAGAAACTTCCAAAAGTGAACCGAAGTTTGGCCGAGAAATTGATAGACGAGAAGAAAGACGCGAGAAAAGAGGCGGTCAAAGTAAGTTAATATTAGTTTGTATTCCACAGTTTTGAGAAAGGATTTGACCAGATACATGTATTTTGCTCCCATGGTATGAAAACCCAACGGGTTACACTTCATAGAACAAGGCAAACAGGTTTTATAACACCATCATACTGTTATTTTCCTTCAGACTTCAGAGGTCAGCAATCCTTTGGGAGATGACAGGTTTTCAGCCATGTTTTCCAACCCTGACTTCCAGGTCGACGAGGAAAGCGAGGTAGGACTGGGACGAGTTGATTTGCAATGTTCGACAAATAGTTTGCATAGCATTCCATGATGTCGACCTACAATTGCAGCAGAGGATCATGCGGATTTCAAATTAAAGAGTGTACCCGTAGTCTTCTATAGCTCATGTTTGTTCTTGCAGGAGAGGCGCGGTGGCCTCATAGTTAGTGCGCTCA